CTTTCTATCTTTAAGAAGGAATTTTTAATAAAAATTCAGGGCTTGTTGAATTTATTTTTTTTTTCTGTTTTCCTTTTTTGTTTTTTTTTTGTTTTAATAACGATACTACGATATGTTGGGGGGTGGGGAAAGAGAAAGGTTATACAATCGAAAATCTGTACAACGTACGAAAAGTTCATAGCACTAATAGAAATTAACGGTTTATCATATTTAAAAATATTCTACTTGGAATATGGATTAAACGGAAAATTTATAAACGTTCGATAAATTTAACAACTACGATATTATAGCGTGTTTGATAGCAAAATTGATACTTTGGGAATCTCAATATGTATTATATGATCTAACGCGTCGCAATTATTTATAATATGGTTAATTGAACAACACCGATACCAAATGTAATTTGTAATCGATTCCAAATCAATTGAAATTATTATATATGTATAAATAAACGAGACTTGATTGCTGATCGTATTTCTGATTTTATCATGATGATTCCTTGTAAATAGTGACGTTAACTGACATTTTATATTAATCTGAAATAAAATTAAAACTTCCGTATGTTTCTTTTCCTTTTTTTTTTTCTCTCTTTCTTTTCCGAACGCACAAAAATTCTCATAATCATATATATTCATTATGATATCATTCATTTTGAAAAAATTTATTGATTTTTGTTTTTTTTTTTTTTTACATATGCGAACAAAACATCGAATGAAATGCGTTCATCTATGTGCAATAAACAAACTAAACGTGTTATTCCCTATACCCAGGAAATTGTTATTCAACCATTTGCATCAGCAAGATTGGGTTATAATCATTTAATATTCATAGAATCATCAAGTCGATTTTCATGTTTGTTTACTGTTCCCACACGCATATACACGCACACACACACATATATATATATACATATATATTTTGATCAACAATCAAAAGATATATCACTAATAAGATAATTCGTGTACCGAAGATACCGAAAAACACAAGTATATTCTTTTGCGTTAAGTGAATTAAAAAAAAAAGAAAAAAGAAAAACAGAAAGAAAGAGAAAGAAAAGAAAAAGAAGAGAAGGGAAAGAAAGCCAAAGAAAAAAAAAAAAAGAAGAAGAAGAAAATGAGAAGAAACAAAATGAAATGAATTTGAATTGAAAAACGGATTGGAGAGGATAAAATGCACGAAGATTTTTTAATGAACAATTTAATATATATTAATTTTTAAATCAATATATTACGTTTAAAAATGGCCAGACGGGATTATGACGTTTGAACGGAAATCGTTAAAGTAAGTTTAGAATGGAAAGATCCTAAGTAATGTGAAAAGCAGACAGAGAGGAAAACGTTAGGTAAGGGAATGATGGAAATACGAAAGAAGAGATCCTTTTATAGAAAGAGAGCGAGTAAAATATATATATATATATATATATAGAAAGAGAGAGAAAGAGTCGGTCGCCTTACCGCTTCTTTCCACCAACTGAAGAAAACGTTGGGTGCGTTTACTATAGAAAAATGCTTGCGGAAGGTTCGGGTCACGTACGACGAGGCGATAACGTAGTCTTCCTACACTCGGACGCAAAGAAACGAGCGCGAGTGTGCGCACACATGTCTACTTAGATCAGTATGTATACCATCACAAACGACTCCCGCAGTCCAATCCTCCCCGTTCAACCCCGCTACCTCACAATTTCCAGCTCTTCTCTCCGCTCGTTCATTCTCCCAGCCCGTATTCAAAGCACAAGGAGTAAAAGGAAAGAGCGCGTGCACAAAGATCACATGCCGCCCAGATTGAGGCTGCAGGGTAAACGTTCGTGTTCCCACCCTTGTGACTACTCTCTCACTCTCTCACTCTCTCTTTCTCTTTCTCTTCTACTCTTACTCTTTACCCTCTTCACCCCTTACTCCGACGGATATCTCCTATGTTACGGTCTCTCTTGCTTTGAGCAGATCTGCGTGAAAATGGGAAAGAAAGTCTGGCGCAACGGCTTCGTTCCTGGAATAAACGAGATACCGCCGTGCTTGTGCGTTGCTTCTCTATGTCTACTTTAGATGTTTCTATCTTTCTTCTGTGGTGTGCAGATATCTATCTGTATGTGTGCTATTGGGTTCGTAGATATAACGTAAGAGCAAAGAAATCATCAATGGTACGAGAAATATCAGAAGCTTCTCGATGACAACAGTTTCACGATTGATGAAAACCGCGATCTCTTTTCCTTCGTAAAAGGATCGTTCTAGAAAAAGTTTCTTTTGAGCGTTCGGTTACGTCATCATCGAGCGATGAATTTTTTTTCTCTTTTCTCGTGTGTATGTAAAAAAAAAAAAAAAAGAAAAAAAGAAAAAAGAAAAAAGGAAAAAATACAGAAAAAAAGACAAAAATAAAGAAATAATAATAATAAATAAATAAAAGAAGAAAAAAAAAACAAGAAAAAAGAAAAAAGAAAAAAAGAAGGAAGAGGAAGAAAAGGGAATTCAAGCTTTGCATTAATATTATACAGTTTTCTTTTTCACGGGTTAAACAAATTCTACGTATTGTTTCGTAAAAATATTTTTAATTTTAAGTCACGTAAATTTTCGATTTGGAGCAATTCATTTAAATTGATTACGCTACGTAACATCCGCTAAAGAATTTTTTTTTTTTTTTTTAATCTTTCAATTCGTTACTAAAAATAACCATCGAATATCGTGAGAACGTTCAGTCGGATTGGTAACTCGCTCTCGAGGGGAAGCTTAATTGAATTGCGACCGGAACGAAGCGCGATAATGATAATAAATATGTAATAATAATAATAATAACAGTATACCTATATGCATATACAAAAATGCGTATTGAGTTTACTATACACAGCGTAAGAGAAGGGGTGGAAGAACGTTGTGAGGGTGGGGGAGGTATGGCGGGAGCAGGAGCAGGAGGGCGGATGGTGCCATTTGAAAAATGGACTCTTGCTTGTTACGATTGATTATATCCATACCCCATAGAATTTTTCGTTGGAAATAAATGCACACGCATCCTCTCTTTATTGTGTTTCCATTAAAGTTCCATTTACAAAATGTCGGCTCGCGATCGCCTACGAACAAAAGCCCTTGTATTCTCTCCACCCTTTCTTTTTTTTTTTTTTCTTTTTTTTCTCGTTCTCCCTCTTCCCCTCTCCCTCTCGGCACGATATCAATATCGATTTATTATTTTCCATCTACCATTTTAACTCCTCCTCGCCCCCTCCCCTCCCCTCCTCCTTGCCCTGGTGACGGTTACATACATATATATATATATATATACATACATTTGCCATTGATCCGTCAAATTTGTTACTACAATTTCACCCCCACCCTTCTCTTTTCCGTTCGCATGTTTCGTTAATAACAATCGATTCGCTTTATTCGAGAATTCACGATGCCTCGGGTGCTACCATATTACGCGACATTCATTTGTATATGCTAGGTACATTCGGGGGAGTAGTGCAAGGGGAGACGGAAGTAGGGGCTTGGAGGATCTATCTGGTCCCACGAACTTCCATGAATTCATTAGCCCAGCCAGTGTTTCCGACTAACAACGCTCAGTAGTAGGTATCGCGCACACGTTTCAAGCATTTCGTCCTTCCCGTTGTCTATGCAAATGCACTTTATTTTCTCACATTTTTCAATTTCCTAATGTCCCCGGTCTCTCTTTCCACTCTTACGCTCTCTGCTCCTTCCGTTTCCCGTTTTCAAGTGAAAGTTTAACGCGGTTGCGATCTTCTCTATTCCAAACGCGTTCTCGTAAAATAAATACACGGAGTTACGCGAGATAAATTGTTTTCATGCTGTTTACCCAACAACTTTTTTGACCATGGAAGATAGTCATCGGGATGTGAAATACTTATGTAATGAGTCATAGAACGAGGAATGATATCGTGTGCAGGAATAAGAGGGAAAGGAGCTTTAAGAGGAATTCGAATCAAAAATTATTCAAATTATGTGTCTCTTCGAGCGATTTTAATAATGTCAATTTTAAATCAGTATAAATCAAATACGTTATTACGTTTTTCAGTTTTGACCTAATTATTTCGAATAATAATATGGACGATCGATGTTACACAGACGAAATGTCATAATCGAAATCTATGCATTTGCAATCTATATATATATATATAGATATATATAGACCGTAATACAAATAGGAATATGTCGGGGAAAGACTGTTTGATGATTTAGCTGAACATCAATGACAGTATTTCTCTAGTCAAGCCAACGTATTCCCCAACCCCTAATGAATATCCTATCTAGGATTATCATGTTGAAGAGACGCTAATTAACACGTCACATACCGTAATGGCCACTTAACTGGACAGTGCTTCTCATTTGTAAACCATAGATTTCCGTCAACATGTTATGTATCTAACTTGAAAGATAGAGATAGAGTGAAAGAGAAAGAGAGAGAGAGAGAGAGAGAGAGAGAGAGAGAAAGGGAATACAAATGGTGTTCTGCCTCGGGGTTATCGCTCTTCTTCTCTTTTCTTCTATCTGTCTGTTTGTCTCTCTCTCTCTCTCTCTCTCATTCTTCCGTTTTCGAAGGAGAAACGAGTGGATTTTCCACGCTCAAAAGAGTGAAATTACACTCGTCGCGCTACCTTTTTGTTTCTTGTGAAACGGAGGCAAACGTAATCGGATTTCGTCGGCAAGAGCAATTATACAAGTTAACCGTAATTCATTTCGGCAATTTAAGATGACTCTCTCTCTCTCTCTCTATCCCTCTTTTTCTCTTTCTATCTTGCTCTCTCTTTTGAAAAGCGGCCATTCGCTATCAATCCCTTTAGGAATGGAAAGAGTGAACGAGAATCGTTAAGAACAAAGAGAAAGAAAGGATGGTTAGCTTTTCTCGTTTCGTTTTGTTTCGCTTTTATGTCCGAGATGATGAAGGGCCATCAGATTGGACACAGCTTCCTGGATTCTTAATTAGATAAAGTCGAAAGAAAAATGATGGAAGGAGTGAGAGACGCGAATCGACAGTCGTATATACGTATATAGACCAACCTCAGTGCCACGTCGATTTCTCCATCGCACCCACTTGTTGAACCCAGGGCGCCAATACTCGACGAAGTATTCCTCTGTATACTCAACGCCATGACCATTTCCGAATCTACCTTGAGTTCTGACCGACATAAGCACGCGAGGACTATGAAGGTTCACTTCGAGAAACTCCTTGCCTTCCTTCGTTACCATATTCTTTGGACACCACGCACCACCTCCTTTGTCCTGTCGTAATCTAAAAAAACAACAAAGATAACGTAATAAGAAGAAGAAAATGAAAAAGAAAATTTATATCCATATCTAATATAATTTAAAGTATATGTTAATGTGTAAGAATAGAAAATCGATGATACAATAAATCGTAGATAAATGTAATAAAAAAAAAATTGTAATACGACATGGAACGGGATATGAAAATGTTTCAAATTATACAAATTCAATGATACTCATTTTTTTTTTCTTTTTTTTTTTTTTTACTTCGTGTTATAACGATTTAAAGATTGTTTTCAAATCAATGCATTATGAGCTTTATTTCTTGGAATTATCTCACTTTTGTTCGTTGCTAAGTAATCTTGCGAATAACATTTACATAAGGGTTCACTTTAATAATAGGAAAGTTGAGAAGATGAAGAGAGACAGAGATAGAGAGAGAGAGAGAGAGAGAGAGAGAGAGAGAATCTACATGGAAATATTTTAGATGGCTTGAAGGAGAAGTACCTACTATCATAGAGAAACGGCATGCCCGCATGTAAACAATAGACCAGGCGAAACCCACTGAAAGCGTTTGCGGTTAATTAGGTAGCAATGCCGTTAACAGTGTCCTAGCTTCTGCTCGACCTTGTCTAAACCTTCTAGTAATTTTGGCTTTCTCTCTCTTCTCCGTATTCTCTCTTCTCTTAACTCTTTGAATCTCTAATCTCTATATAAAGGAAATGTCAAGTATATTCGTAGATCATATAGAACACGTTAATATTAAAACGTAATCCTTCTCGAATAAACGTAATTATTGTAATACGAATATTATTTATAAGATTATGTAAAAAAACAAAAAAAGAAAAAAATCTTTTAATCCATTACCAAATTCAATAATAATAATTAATAATAATAATAATTATTATTATTATTACACGTAAAAACAAACAAATAATTAATTGACGTTATATCACATTGATATCCATTATTACTGTGATATTTAAAATTTATCAATTATAAACACGATTGTTGATTGTTATTAACATAGAACAACGTGACATAGTATATGTTTTGAAAAGAAAAAAAAATTGAATGTGCAAAAATGACTCTTTTTTCCTTGTTTCTTCGTAAAAAAAAAAAGAAAAAAAAAAAAAATATTTATTCTAATAGGAAGCCAATATAATCTCTGAAAGGAAATTTGCGAAGATAATAGATAGATCTTTTGTTGGTGTTAGAATGGAATGTCTGGTTGAAAGTAGTCAAGCTGAGAAATGCACTGTGTTCGGGATTCATGAGAGAGTGAGAGATTTCAAGCTCGAGAGACAGCAGCAGAGAGAGAGAGAGAGAGAGAGAGAGAGAGAGAGAGAATGAGTGAGAGAATGAGAAGGGTTTGGAGGAGAAAGGGAATAGAGGGCAGGGCATTATGGGTGCCTCATCGGTCGAAAGGTGCATTAGCATTGCTAATGACTTGTGGTCGTTACCGTCACACGCGTCGGTAGCAACCAACCCTTTCCTATGCTTAGTGCCGCGAAGCACATTCGTTATGAACCCCGCAAAGTCAGCAGGTTCTCTGCGTTTTCGCAGACTCGATGCTAAATAGGAACGAGATATCGAGACTCTGTGTGTTAGCAACACATTTCCATCTTCTACAGGAAACTTTCTCAATACTCACCTTCGACTTTGTCTCCGGTATTACCATTGTATAGCTCGTTGGTTTTGTTTGATCTATAACGAACGTTTATAAATTATTGTTACTTTTTAATCAAATCACATTTAACGACCATAAAATATCGTATGTTCTTTTAAATAAATTGTAACAAATGAAAATGTGTTAACACGGACGATGGTAGAATTAAAAGATATGAAATTCGATAAATAAGCTTAGTAATTTTAAGAATCGTCGGATAAAAGAATATATTTACTAAAATATATTTCTGATATATATATATATATATATATATATATATATATACATATATATATGTATGTACGTATATATCAATAAATTTTTAATAAAATTTTTGTTGTCGCATTCACGATACAAAAAAATAATAATCTCTTTTTAGCCGAAGCTGATGCATGTAACAGAATGAAATACATTGGCGCGTAACAGCCGTATACGTTATTTTACATTTTTTATCTATCAATTTAACGAGAATAAATCATTTTAGTGTGCGGCATCGCGTATTTTTCAAATTTTATCGATAATTTATATACTCGTTCTCGCGAAGAGAAAATTTCCATTTTGACGTTCACTTCGCAACTTGTCAATCGAGTTGAAAAACAAAAAAATGCGTGAACACCAAATATGATATTTATATATTTCTATAATAAAGTAATATTTGCGGAAATGAATGATAAAGCAATTTTTTTTTCTTCTTTCTCTTTCTTTTCTTTTTTTTTTTTTTTTTTTTTTGATTCATTTGTTTCTTTTTAAATACATAATTGAATTGATTTGACTAAAACGAAGAATAATTAAATTGAACGCCTGTCAAATATTTTTCGGATCATTTGAAAGTTAAACAGAATATAGATAGAAATTATTTATTCGAGTTTTCGATGCTTTTAAATTTCGAAATTGTAGATTAGTGTGTCATTGCGGTAATGATTGGAAAATCCGGAGTATTAGAAAATTTCGAACAAAAATAAAATAGTTTCAGATGATATCAGTGAGTGCCGACCGTATTGGTCGGACATGTGGGCAATAAAGTTGAAAATTGTTCCGGCACTTATTTATTGTCGGCCAGAGTTAATGTAATTGTTAACGTCATATCGTATTTTTTTTTCTAATATTTCTTAAAATTTTCTTCTCTTTTCCTTTCTCTTACTTTATTCCATTTAGAAAATAATTTCTTCCTTGAAAAAAAAAACAAAAAAAAAAAACAAAGAAAAAAGCATCAGAATGATACATATAGAAATACTTCTTAGATTAATATTCTTTCTTTTCGAAATTCGCACAATGGTATCTGACAATTTACAGTAGAGAAGAATTTTAAAGAAGATAAAGATAGAAGATAGAGATAGAAATAGAGATAGAAATAGAGATAGAGATGGAGAAAGATAGAGGAAATCATGAAAGACGAATTTACGAGCTGTACGAACGTTTTAACGGTGTCTGATCTCTGTGGGAAATCCCAAGCGAATGTGTTATGCAGTGACTCTGAAAGCAGAGAGATTGGTTCGTGGAGGGAAAGCAGAAGAACGGAACCATTCGTAAAAAATAAAAGATAGAAGAAAAAACGACCAAGAGAAATGATCTCTCTCTCTCTCTCTCTCTCTCTCTCTCTCTCTCTTTCTTTCTTTCTCTTCTGGCTGTCCGAATCGTGAAAGCGGAAAGCGGAAAGCGGAAAGCGATTGCGATGGTTCAAAAATTTACCGAACGCGCGGATGCTTTCTTCTATCATATTTTTTTTCCCCCCTACCCCTTCGGCAATTGAATTTACACGCGTGACATTGTTTCGTTGAAATTAATAATTTATTAATATTACACGATTATACGTATTTTCTTCAATTGTCAAAATTCATTTCTTTGATAATTGAATGTCTTCGGAATCATATTATTCGCATAATTTTTTCTCTTGTATAGCTGAGCGTTTTCTTTTTTTTTTTTTTTTTTTTTTTTTTTTCTAAAAAATATTAAAAGTCACACGATAAAATTGTTTCTTGAAAATAAATGTAACATTTCTTTTTTTTATTATGGAAAAATTATTTTTCAAATATTTAATTTTCATCCTCCAATGACAAAATATCTTCAAATGAAAAAAAAAAAAAAGATAATATATATATATATATATGAATTTCCTCCTTCCTTTTATGTATGGTGTTATTGAACATTCCTGGAATTCTAATGTCGTATGTGGCATCGACTAAATGACCCGTGAAAATTCTTGTCGATCCTACCCGATTTTACGGAACTTCGAATCGTCCTCTCTTTCTCTCTTATCTTAAACCATCGACCATTTGGGAATGGTAGTAACGAGAAACGAGGAAGGCTTAAAAGTACAGTAGGGAAAAAGAATATGGAAAATCTGTATTATCCAACAACGAATCGTGCTCGTTCGAAGAATAGTATCGTTTGAAAAAGCGAGCATCTCACAATACTTTTCCTGATTCGAATCAGAACGATATCGTTACGGTATCGATACGGTATTCTGGACTTTTTTTTTTTTTCTCTAGTACTTCGGAAGAATGGTGGTTCATTTAACGAAAAAAAAAAGGGGGAATAAAAAAAACGGAACAAAAAAAAACTGAGCGTATAAAATGTGTCATGTAGTTTATCGATTTTCTTTCAAAATAGTTTATAAATGGTTTTTTAAAAATCTTTTAAAATATTTACATCGATCGGCTTTTCAAAATAAAATTTTATTATAAAAAAAAATTGATATGATCTGTAAAGATATACAACAAGATCTATAATGGCATATGCATGTATGCACATATATATATATGTATGTGTGTGTGTATGTGCGAGCGTGTGTGTATGTATATGTATAATACAAAGATATTATAATTTTCTACCATCAGAATCAGACAGGCTCTTTCAATTTCAAAGAGTATCGACAAGCGCGTTGGATGGAGTGTAAGGATAATGGCTATAAGCTCTTGAAAGCTCGCTTATACGATACAACCCTTTTCCAAAAGTTAACCGTTGAAAGACGATAACAGAGATAAAGCGGCATCGGTATATACATTTATAATACCGTATCACGTTATCTTAGCTTTTGGCCTGTGACCCTAACGAGAGTTACGTGCTGCCGGAAACACGTCTGTATATTCAACCAAAATTCCACAACGTCTTCCTGTCTCCCGGGGTTAGAACTTTTGGGTGACAAACAATGATCCACAAACAGTTCTGTGTGTGTATGTGTGTATGTGTATGTGTGTTATGTCTTAAAGAAAATAATATCTCTGATTAACTCTCTGTTATTTCTATTTTAACAATGACAACAATTCTATATTATCGTCATAGCATAAATTTGAGAATTTAATATTGATCAAGAATTACGGATATCAATATATATATATATATATATATATATATAT